TTAGGAGACTCTGTGGATCTTGATGCAATTCTGAACGAGATGATGCTCGAAGGTGAAGATTACAGAACCCCAGAAACTTCGATGCTACGTTCAGTACTAACTGTACTACGTGAGCCACACCTTCGAACACCCTTCTTCATCGGTTGTCTTAGTCTCCAGGTTAGATTCGTGATAAATTTGATTAGCCCAAAAGAAACGAATTCATCTATCTACAGGTGGTTGTCGGCATTTGGTCAATCATCTACTTGTCGACAGATATGTTGGAATATCGATTTTCGGAAGAGATAGCTCAAATGGCTTCGTTAGTCTTCATTATAGCGAATTTTGTGGCTGGAATGGCTGGAATGTTCATCATCGAAAGGTTTGTAGTTCTTACTCTTTCCGCTTAAGATATAATTTAACTAAATGCAATTCTGCAGTACACGCTGGCGGAGATAATGGAAATGAAAGAGAATTGAGTGCAATGAATTTTCTAAGCAAATGTGAAATTTCATAGCGTAAAAAAACCGAAAATGAGCTTCTAAGTTTAGATTAAGATGGTTTTGGGCTTTTCTTTAATTATTTATCAGTCCTAACATGTATTCCAACGAGAATGGACTCAAGCATCTCCATATACTCTCCAATGATCTCAGTATACGTCAGACTAAGCTTAATACCCAAAAGTGTTTTTCATTGGAGGTCATCCATAAACTTACATAATTCTAATGGTTAAACATTATCTAGACATCTCGTGAAGACAATGAGAAATGACAATGTCTGTTTTCCCACTACTTGAAGTTCTTACATGACTTATGGACATCAATAAAGGTCAATAGCCATGAGGATGCTTAGCTTCGCGTAAAACACGATCATGTCATAAGACTAAAGTAAACGCGTCGCACCTGCTCGCTACCGCGCTAGCAATTTCTCGTGGACTGACATGTGCCGAACAAACTGACACGGGTAAAGTGATAATTTTGCAGATTTGGCCGACGTACTCTTGTGCTATGGCTTGGCCTATTCAACACCATCTCACTAGCACTATTTGTGGTCTTTGATCAGTTGGCTAATTTGTACGACCCCCTAAAATGGGGTACCATCGTCGCATTAATGCTGTTTGGCGTAACATATGGGTACGTTTCACTTGGCCATGGAGCATTCCCGTGAATTTAGATGTTATTTTTCAG